GGCACCTGTAGTCCCAGCTACTTGGGAGGCTGAGGCAAGAGAATTGCTTAAGCCCAAGAGTTTGAGGTTGCTGTGAGCTGTGACACCACAGCACTTGACTGAGGGCAACATGGTGAAAAAAAAATAAGAAGAAGAAATAAAAAGAAAAAGATAGTAGAAAATTCTAGATGTATATACTCCAAGATATTAAGTTGTTTATGTTTGCATAATGGGATTATAGTTTTTTTATTTTTCTATGTTAAATTTTTTAAAATGTAAACACATTTGCAAATGTTAAATCACAACATTTAACATGGTAAATACGAGAATTGGCTGAGGCAGGAGGATCACTTGAGCCCAGGTTGGAGTGCGCTATGTTGATACCACTGTATCCTAGAAAACCAGACAAATCAGAAAATCTCTCCTAAAAGGCAAAGGAAATAGGTTAAGAGCTAAACATAAAGGAAGTGACAAGATTTGAGAATCAGAAAAGGGATGTACAACCTTAGCCTTAGAGATGTTCTTAAGAGACACACCAGAGCTATCAGAAGTTCTAGTCAAAGCAGCAGATGAAGAAAACTTTCCTAGGGAAAAAAAAAATTATGCAGCTCAAAAAGTTTACTCTGTCCCAACCAAACTCCACCAAAAGAAGTCCATATTGGTTAAATTTTTATTTTCATCAGTAGGTTAGGAAGTTATTCCAACCTGTATGTGTTTGTATACTTACTAAAGAGTACAAATACTTATAAAAGTTACTTACAAAGGAATAAAAATAACCCTAGCTTCAGACCTCTCTGCAAAGCAACTGCCAGAGGAACAGAGAAGCAGGATCCCACAAGACAGGAAAGTAGAGCGGAAAACCGACCTAACTCCTCAGATACGAAGACTCATAAATTACACCGCTCAGTTACCTTCCCAGCAAAGGACGCCTGAAGGATTTTCTGAAGGTTCACCCCATCTGAGAGGCAAATCCAAAGAGAACGTCAAGAATGAGGAAGGCGTAGTCTAAAAAAGGTTGATCGTCATTTATTCATCTCATTTCCAGACTCAGCAAAGTGCTGGCCAGTGGACTGGAAGCTTCCACAGTCTGACTGTACCTTGCCATCGCCACCAGGAAACAGCGTGGTAATGTAGCGAAACCCTAACGGAGGCCGAGATGGACACGGGGTACACACGACCCCTTTTTCTGAGACAAAAGGGAAGGAAGTATGATCCTGCCTCCTATTGAAACTTTCGAAAAGGGAAACCCAAAGATGACTTTCCATCTCTTTTTCTCTGGGAAATCAGAAGCATGACACTGCAGAGTTGGTTGTGGGACAGTGGCTTTCCGCGAGGTGGACAGGAGAAAGGGGAGCGTTCACGTCCTCTCTGGCCCAGCAGCAAGGAGTCCCTACAACCTCAGTCCCTCCCCGGGCACTTGGAGAAAGTGGCGGACCCTAGCGGGGGGTCACTGGGGTCAGGGTTTTTTCCGGTCCCTTCACCTCTCGGAGAGATGCTGGGTGACTGCACAGACGGTCGCTTATTTGGGGTAGCCGTAGCAGGGTGAGCGGCGAGGGGGGGAGGAGGGCTCCGCGTAAGACCGAAAGGGGAGGATGCGTGGTGCAGAGGAGCGAGGCTCCCTCGTGGGGGAGGAGGTGCCAGCGCGGGGCGGCCTTACCCCCGGGCCCGGTGGAGACGGTGACCTGCGCGTAGGTGGCTCCCGCGGCGGCAGCCGGCCCCGAGACGCCGTTGAGCGCGGCCACGCGCACCGTGTAGCGCGCGCCGGGGCGCAGGTGGAGCAGAGTGGCCGCACGCTCCCGCAGCCCGGCCTGGCGCGGCACGAAGGCCACGCGCGGCCCGCACGGCTCGCACGCGCCCGCCGGGCCCTCGCGGCCGCAGCGCAGGCACAACAGCGAGTACGTGACGTCGGAGCGGCCGCCCGAGTCGGCAGGCGGCAGCCAGCGCAGCCGCAGCGCCAGCGGGGAGCGGCTCAGGCTGTACTGCAGGTCCCGCGGCGCCGACGGCGGCCCTGGGGCAGCACAGGGCCCAGGAGGGGTCAGGGGGCGGGACGCGGCCGGAGGCGAGGCGCAGTCAGGGGCTGGATGAGGTCAGGCTGGGGTCAGGGGGTGTGGCGCGGTCTAGGGCTGGAGCGGGACGGGGGCGCGGTTGGGGCGGGGTCAGAAGGCGGGGCGCAGTCGTGGGAGCCGTCCTGGACCGAATGTCAGGGCCAGGTAAGGGACCTGGGTGGAGGAGCGGGGAGAGGGTCTCATCCACCCCCAGTGAAGAGGAAGGGATGGAGGTGTGAGGGTCAGTCATGGAGGAGGGAACTGGGGCAGTGAGGTGACTGGGTGGATGAGCGAGGATGAGGCGTACCGGGTAGTGGGGCTAGAGAGACGAGGATGGGGGTTCAGTGAGGCGACTAGGATGGATAAACAGAGATGGGGGTTCGTCCACCTCCCAGTGAGTTGGGAGGGCCGGGGCCGTGGGGGCCCGTGAGGGCGGGATGTGGGAGTAGTGAGGTCATTCGGTGATGAGGTGGAAGGAGGGTAGCGAGGCGAGGAAGATGGGAGTACAAGAACCATGCACTGGAGGGAGTCCCCCCTCCTGGCTGGAGGGAAATGTGACGTGAGGCAGGGGAGGAGTGCCCACTAGGTGACCCGCCGAGAATCCTAACCTCAGCCTCTATGGGGGGGGGGACTCCCCCAGTTGTCAGATTCTTCTAATCCAAAGCCCCAGCCCCCATCCTCACCCCAGAGTCCCCTCCCTCCACCCTGCCTGTCCCTTCCCCATGCCCGCCTCCGTCGTCCCCAGTGTGGAGCCCCGGCCCTCGTCACCATCACCCCCTAGATCACAGCTGTATTGACACCGCACCCACCCACCACAATGGAGCCAGGAGGGAGACTCACGGGTGCAGGAAGCTGAGGGCGGGTCGGTGGGCGAGCGCGCATAGCTGTCCTGGCACACGCAGAACGTGGAGGCGTTTTCCAGGGCCCGACTGTGCTCTGGGCAGGGTGAGCAGAGGGGCCTCCGCGGGGACACCTTGTAAAACCCTGGGGGACAGGCTGCAGGGAGGGGCTGGTGAGAAGGAGAGGCCTCCCCCACAGCCTCTGCCCCTTTCCTGCCTGCCCTGGTTGGAATGGGGTTATTTGCTGGAATTGCCAGGACTCAACCACTCAGTGGGCACTGGCCTCCCAGGGTGACAGCTCCTGAACAACCCATTACTTAATCCTTGTAAACCTTCAATGTGTTCAGGAAAAACTGAAATATCATACTTCTATTTTATTCATATACTCATCACAACCACCTTTGAAGTATGTACTTTGTGTTTTAAAAATAAAGCTCAGGGCCAAGTGCTATGGCTCATACCTATAATCCTAGCACTCTGGGAGGCCAAGGCAGGTGGATTGCTTAGGCTCAGGAGTTCGAGACCAGCCTCTACTACAAATAGGAAATACTAGCTGGGTGTTGTGGCAGGCACCTGTAGTCCCAGCTACTCTGGAGGGTGAGGCAAGAGGACTGCTGGAGCCCAAGAGTTTGAGGTTGTGAGCTATGACGCCATGGCATTCGACCAAGGGTGACAAAGTAAGACTCTGCCTCAAATATATATATATGGCTCAGAGAGGTGAAGTAAGTTCCCCAATAAGTTGCCCAATGTCCCACAGCTAGTGAGGTTCCAGCCCAAGTCACCTGGTTTCAGAGCCTACATCATACTGCCCTGATGGCTGTGGTAAGAAAATGAACCAGACTTTGCAGTCCTGATGTGAGGAACAGCTAGAAAAGAGATGGCCCTGAGGGCTTTTCCACAGTCACCCAGGGACAAACACAAACATCATGTTGTCCAAGTTCATTCTCCTTCCCGTACTATCATAGGGGGTTAGTATGTCATAAACTCCCAACTGGGCTCAGCGCCTGTGGCTCAAGTGGCTAAGGCACCAGCCACATACACCTAAGGTGGAGGGTTCAAATCCAGCCTGGCCCGCCAAACAACAA